TCCTGGCTGGGGGCCAGGGGGGCAGGGTATATGCTCTGGACAGTTCCTGGAAGTCCCAGAGGATAAGAAGCTGATTCATCTCCTCCCATCTTTCTTTCCACTAAGACCGTCCCCCTTCTTATTTTTTTCTCATCTTTCCCACTATCCTGGGAAAGGATCCTGCCCTGGATTTTCTGCCCTGGATTTTATTTTCTCACTATTTTCTCTACTAACTGCCATCCTCTCCATGTCTTAGCTGCAGTTATAAACCCTAGGTTATCTAGGTAATTCTGTCAGCCAGAAGCAATTCCAGAATTTATAGAAGCTCTCCGAAAGGTCTCATGTAGCCCCTAATATTTGAATTGAAGTAAAATATGAATCTCAATAAAAGCAACACAATTCATAGTGTTTGCTGATAATGGCAATCCATCTTCTTTTGGTTCTCCCCCAGAGGACCTGGGAACGCTGGGAATATCCTGAGCTTGGTGCTTTGGTGACTTTTTTTTTTTTTTTAACTTTGGATCTTTTTAAAATCAGAAATCAATTTTGAATATTTTAAGTTCTTGATTTTGCTCTATAGCCCCAATTAGGGACAAGCCAACCCTTATGAAATCTAAACTCTCCTGTTAGGGTAGAAAGATCATCATAGGCTTTCGTTAAGATAGTCCTGAGTTCAAATGTTGTGTGATTTGGACAAATTACTTAACCTCCTTGAGCCTATTTCCTTATCTTATAATGAAGAAAATAATATTGACCAAGGAATATGGCTCATGCGTGTAAAACCCCCCAGCACAATGTCTGATTAAAACAGTAGCTGCTATTATCATTGTGCTACACCTTTCTCTTCCTTTTGAATAAAGACTAATCTGATGGGGTTTCCCAGCCTCTGGAAGGTGTATGGGGACTTGGAGACTCACAGAATGGTTACTGGAGAGAGGGTGAGACTTGGGAAGTGCAGGCTGGCACGAAAATGCCAGTCCCCAGGCCTGACACCCTCCTACCTACCCCACCCTTCCCTGCCCGCTACAGTCCTGTCTAAGAACAGCAAGCCCATCCACACCACCATCCTGAACCCGCACGTCCATGTGATTGGAGAGGACGCGGCTTGCATCGCCTACATCCGCCTTACCCAGTACATCGATGGGCAGGGCCGGCCTCGCACCAGCCAGTCAGAGGAGACCCGGGTCTGGCACCGCCGGGATGGCAAGTGGCTCAATGTCCACTATCACTGTTCAGGGGCCCCTGCCGCACCGCTGCAGTGAGCTCAGCCACAGGTGCACCTGGTGGGGGGTTGGGGAGCGGCTGGGACAAGTGGGGTCAGAGGAGGAAGAAGAGGTTGAGAGGTGGCATTGCGGGAGGATACATGGGCCATCCCAGAAGAGTAGCGAAGGCTGGACAGTGTGGTGGTTGTAATAAGTCATGCTCTGAAGTCAGACAGACTTGGGTCTGGCTCCTTGACTCCAAATTGGGTGACCTTGGACAGGTTACTTCCCCTCCCTAAGCCTTATTTTCCTCAGCTGTCAATAAGGAAGAAGGAGGGACTTCCCTGGCAGTCCAGTGGTTAAGACTCCGCCCTTCCACTGCAGAGGGCTCGAGTTTGATCCCTGGTTAGGGAGCTAAGATTCCACATGGCTACAGTGCAGCACCCACCCCCCCAAAAAAAAGGAGCGGTGCCTACCTCCTTTGTTGTTGTGAGGATTAAATAATATACTTGTAAGTAAAGCACTTAGTAAGCAAATGTGAGGCAGTGTTATGTTTAAATACTAGCTTCTCCTCCATCCTCCACCCTCTCAGGCAGACTTGACCACGTATGTAGTGTGTTTAAGTCTCTGGAACTCCTCTGTGTGGGTATTGTCCTCTCTTCTGTTACCACGTCTGTTCTGTTTGACAGGGGCATAAGGAGATCCCAGCCGGAGGTCAAACCTTCGCAGCCAGTGGCTCTGGAGGGCCTGAGTGACAGTGGCAGTCCTGTTCGTTTGAGGTTTAAAACAATTAAATTACAAAGCGGCAGCAGCCAATGCACGCCCCTGCATGCAGCCCTCCCGCCCGCCCTTCGTGTCTGTCTCTGCTGTACCAAGGTGTTTTTTACATTTAAGAAAAGAAGATCGTTTTAAAAAAAAATGGGATCCATACCGTGATGCGTTTTAAAACCACCAATAGCCCTTGGGCTAGCAAGAAGGCAGGAGTTTGTGTGATGCCCATCCTGGCACAAGCAGTGGGCTCACCTACCAGCCCTGAAGAGGTGAGCTTAGCCTCTGGCCTCCATGGACTCAGGGGACCAGGCAAGAACTCTGACAGAACTTTGGGGGCTGTGATGTGATTACAGCCCCTGAGGTGGCCTACCTGCCCCAGGTCTAGGAATGGACGTCTTCAGAATTTGTATACATGCCTAGAATGAGGCTGATGAAGAACATCGTGGCCAACAGACCTACTTGGGAGAGAACGCGGAGCTCCCAGCCTGCCGTGGAGGCAGCTGAGAAACAGTGGGCTCAGGACTGAGAAGCAGGGCCCGGACATTGCTGTACTGTACCATTTAGTATAGACGGGAAGAGAATTGGTGCTGCAGAAGTGTGTCCGCTACAAAGCTGATGAGAAACCTCGTGTTAGTCTGACATGCACTCACTGAGTCATCCATTTCTATAGGATGCACAATGCATGTGGGCCCTGCTATTGAGGCCCAGTCCTTGCAGCTGGGAAGTGGGAGGGGTTGCCGAGTTGCTTCGTGTTTGTTTTCTTATAACTTAGCAAGGAGAGAGCCGGGCCTTGGTCTGGGCTCCTCCTGCTGCCTTTGGCAGTTCTGTTTCCGTGCTGATTTGGACCATCTTTGTCTTGCCTTTTCATGCTGGTGGTCCCTGTGCTGACCCTCATCTGGACCTGGGCCCTCTGCCAAGTGCCCCTGTGGGATGGGAAGAGTGAGGCAGCGGGACTGAGTGACGGTTGTTTCTATGCATTCAGGCTGCCCTCGGGGCTGCCTCCCTTCTTACTCTTCCCTTGCTGCACGCCCGTCTCTTTTCCTGTCTTTGAGATTGACCTGACTACTCGGGCAAGAAGAGGTATCCTCTACAAAGAGACCTCTCTACTGACCAACTGAAGTATAGACTTAACTGCCGGACAATCTGCCTGGGCATCACCCTGTCTCTCACCTGCATGTACCCAAAAGAGATGTCCAGAGCCAAGGCTCCTACATTCACTGTCCCTCTCTGTGCTCAAGGAGTTCCATTCCAGGAGGGAAAAATTTATACTCTAAGCAGATAGCAGAGAAGATAATGGAGGAGCAATTGGTCATGGCCTTGGTTTCCCCCAAAACAACTGTGCAGACCTGTCTGCACAAATGTCTGCACTACTGGGGGATAGATGGGTAGGCCCCAGCTCCCTGGACTGCCTTAAGGAGGCACAGGAGCTGGGAGAAGAGGCAAAGCTACAGGTTTACCTTGGAGCCAAGTGAGAAGAGAGCAGACTCACAGGTGCTGGTGCTTGGATTTAGCCAGGCTCCTCTGAGCACCTCCTGCATGCCCCAGCCCCTGGGCCCTAACCCTTTCCTGCCCTGCAGCCTGCAGTACCAGCACGCAGACACCTTCACCACAGGGTTTGGTTTTGCTGGCTTGAAGACAAATGGTCTTAGAGTTCATTAAGACCCGTAGCTTCATATGGCTGCTCCAGCCCCACTTCTTAGCATTCTTAATCCTCTTCTGGGGCTAATGTCAGCATCTATAGACAATAGACTATTAAAAAAAAAAAATCACCTTTTAAACAGGAAATGAGAAGGCATTTGATGCAGAATTTTTGCATGATGACATAGAAATAATTTAAAAATAGTGTTTGTTCTGAATGTTGGTAGACCCTTCATAGCTTTGTTACAATGAAACCTTGAAGATATTTAATAAAATAACCTTTAAACACTCCGTTGTGTTACTGCTGTTGGAGGCTTATGGTCGGAGGCTTAGATTTAACAGCCTGGGTTACAAGGCTTCAGGTGGAGAGATTTGCCTTCTCCCACCCCTTTTGGGCCCATTTTAGAATAAGACTTCCTCATAAACTCATCAGCCTCCAATTAGTCCCCCGGTCTGCTGAGGCGAGTTTGGAGCAGGGGGAAGAACTCGGGCCCTTAGCGGGTGAGCTCTGAGTCTCGCCCCGCCCCCGGGCCCCGCCCGCGTCCAGGACAGCCCTCCCGCCCCTCAGTGGGCCGGCCCGGCTCCCCCTCCGCCGGGCCGAGTGGAAGAGCCCACACCATCGGCCCGCCCCGCCTCCGGGACCCTCGGCGCCGACGCTAGCCGGGCCGTGCCACTGCGCGGGAAGGAGGGGTGCACCTCTGCCGGGGCGCTCGGAGCCCGCCGTCTATGAGGCTGCGGCTCGGCCGAGCGCTGCGGAACACCGTT